ATTCATTAATAATTTGTATTTTACCTTAATTTCAAGAGAATTTTAACATTTCAGAAAATTTTAAAGGAAAAATACTTTATTTTTTACACTTATTTCATGTTTTGGATGAATATATGCTCAAGTTAGTATATCTGGAATACAATTACATATTGTTTTAATCGTTAAATCACACTATCAATAAAACACAAAATAAGTAAAAGTCTTGATTATAATATATTTACTGATTTTGCTAAAATGAAAAAAACTTTTATGGATTATATACTAATTTATAAATTAAATAGGTTATTTTATTACTTATCCAAAATTCACCAGTCCATCATCAAATATCCACAATAAATGCACTCAGTTATCTTTGATAATCTGCTAACTCTCAGTCATAAAAATAACAGCTTTACACATATTTTTCTATTTTGTTGCAATGAAGATATATTTGTGAAATTGAAGGCTAAACATTTTAATTCACAATTTGAAAACTTGATAAAGTTTAAATACCGAAAATATATTGTAGGGTCTCCGTTTGTACTCTTTCCCTAGGGCCAGCATGTGGTGGGGCAGGCCCGCCTATTACATTATGCTTTTCTGCCCTCACAACAAGACAACTTGAATTTAAATGTATTTTACCAAGTACTCTGGGACATGAAACAGAGCACGAAGACTGACTTACGGCCAGGAGGCACAGAGAACTAACAAGATGGTTTAGTTCCTAGCCTACTTTTGTGCAAGAAGCCAGCCAAGGAGAAGGAAAACTAATTGGCACCTCACGGGCAGATTTTTTTAAAGGAAGGAAACTATAGGAAGCCACCCAACGACTCCTCCCTCCCTGCAAGGCTGGATGCAGGCTGGCTTCAAGAGAGCCCAAACTGAGCTCCGTCCATGAAACAAGCCGCACGTTTGCCACTGAAAGGGAAGGCTAAGTCCAGACGGAAACAGAGGCGACACACTCATCCTGCCACCACCGCGAGTGAGCAGGTTCACACGTGCTTATGCAGCCCTCCGCAACAGAACAAGGAACAGGAGAACGGCCAGGAGAGCAGCACGCAATGAGGATTCTTCGAGAAGAGTGGGGTTTCGTGTCCGCCAAGCAGGCTTGGAGCCCTGGTCTACTACAGGAAAACGGAGACCCCGGGGAAGAAGACCGTGTGCACGCGGGCGGATAAAACGACTACGGTTCACAAGACACCCAAGGACTTGCTGGACGGGGAGGCGCACCCTTCTTCCCCGCAGCCGAACGGCTGCAGGCAGCAAGGATCAGCGCCAAGATCCTCCGCGCCCTCAGAGCTCTAACCTCTCCGAGCGTCAGCGCCAGCAACGCCGCCTGCCCCCGCCACGGCCAACGTGTTGACACAACTGTCACCGAACGCCTGTAACGGCTCCGCCCCTGAGACTCGGCACGGACCCGTCGTACTCTGCTCGCCGCGCCGGGACCGCGGGCAGCAGGGGCACAGGCAGACGACCACACACCGCGGGGGCACACGTGCGGCACCCAGTTCTCCCTACGGCCGCAGGGCGCCGGCGAGGCCGAACGCCACGGCCCCCTCCCCGCGGCGACCCCGTGTCCAGCGCTGACCCGGGAGC